CGATAAGATGACAAATGATTGATTTTCTGATCAATAAACGTTTATATGAAAAAACGCAATATATGCTCAGTTAGTTATGTTTTATGTTATATTACACGCGACACGTATTAGAAAGGTGATAATTTATATTATTTTGTATTTTAAAAAAATATCAAATTAATTATACATTATATAGCTCTTAAGAAAATGAAGATGCGAAGGATTATTGCTTGAAAGATTAAACAAGAGATTAAAAATCAATGCGAAATAAAATAAATTTTGAATCAAATAGTAATGCATTATTATTCAAGATATCCTTGTCTTACAATGGATCGATTGCAACATTTCTTCAGATGTACTGATATTCAAATCGTTAAAGACAGCGAGAGATAGGCAAACGCAACTTTGCACCGTAATAAAGAAGATTCTGCGCGCACTAAAAATGCATCATCAATGAATATAACTACTGAAAATAATATCTTCTGAATGGAATTGTATTTTACTCTCTTATACAAGAGATTCTTATGTACTAATTTTATCACGGTAAATGATTGGCTTCATCATATTACGCATTTACAATGATCTACATATGCAAATTTACAGGCGCGAAATCTTATCTTCTCTCACATAAATATATAAAGTAAAATATCTTATTGTTAGTAAAAATCACTGTTACATGTATCTATGACCTCTGATCTTGCTACGTTTGCAAAAAATTTATGATAAGCTGTTCTCAATTATAATACAAGCAACTATTCTAGCTTTACATTCAATTTACTACAAAAGCATTAGCATTCTACAATTTTACCGAGTGATTTATAACTCGAATCATTACGTCCGTCGCCGAGTCTTTCGATAATCTTTCCAAGAGATATATTTTGAAGAATAAAAAAAAAGCTATTTATATAATCATAGAGCAAACATTTATATTTATAGCTCTATTAATAATTTTATAAAAACATATTAATGTCTCTCTCACCGAGTTGTGAAATATTTTATGTGTATTGTAAGATATTAAGCCGTATAAAACCTCAATCGCATAACCGCAAAATGTAATTCTGTATTCTTCAAGAAAAACTGGCCTCGCATATCAATATCACAGCCCGTTTAAAATTCTGCATTGAAAAAAAAAAACGAATACGAAAGAAAAGTGCGTTTTTTTATATTGTTCGCAACAACTGCACTTCGTTATGGAATTGAGTCTTTTCAAAAGAAAAGCTATAACAAAAAACGAGTCAGTCGTTCATAAATAAACATGTCCAATCAAATTTATACTGAAGAAAAACTAGCTCTAGTTTCATTAAAAGTATCTTTAGCTGAAAAAATGAGTTTCCAGACACTCCGTATAAAAAATAGGTGATATGAAATCATGAAATATAAGAAAACAGAAACGAAGAAAGAAAGGGGAGAAGAAGAAGGAAGAAAGAAAGAGAGAGAGAGAGAGAGAGAGAAAGAGAAAAATCGATTTATTGGAGTTATCTGTGAGATCATTTTCATCATTGCGTGCTACAAATCTCTATAAATTCGGATGTCGTGACCAATTTATGGTAGCTCGTAGTAATTCGAAGAAAAAATTGTGGAGTTTGCGCAACCACTCTTGATCGCTAATGATCTCTCGTCAGGGTCGCGCGGAGACACATCCTCCGCATCCTAAATGGTAATGCGGAGATGCACGCACGCGAGTAATGCGAGCGCAGCAAAACTGCGCTGTTCGGATAGTGCCACTTTAAAAAAGTTACACCGTCCTTTCAATCGCCGATCGAATGTTTGTATTACATTGTTGAATTCTATCCAAGCTATTTTCAACACGAACATATTTTATTTGGATATCCGTGCATTGTCAAAATGTTATATAACTAAAGGAAATATATCAAATAATCGCACACATTCTTTCTATTTCATATCATCAATATTCCGTCATTTCGTCCCATCAGATGCAATCGAGAAAAATTTGAAAAGAGCCTCTCCTCGAATAATATTCTACATACGTCATATATTTGTACTCGCGCAAAAATGAAAAGAAAAAATTAAATAGATAAATATTTCACAATAGAAATATTTCTATCGATATATTATTTTTCTATAAATTAAGAATATAAATTAGAATCGCATGAAAGTATCAGAAAAAGAGGAGAGGGAGATTAAGCGAGAAATAATTGTTTAAGCTATGATTGCTAAAAGGAAGTTCATTATCGATCACTATTTGGTAATGATTATGCGATCATCCATCATCTCACGTGACTTGATTTGTCTCTCTATTTAGATATACAAACTTCTTTAAGGTCACGCATATATCGAATTAACTGTTAATGGGCGTGTTGTACGCATCGCGCATTAACCAGGTCGCCCCATAGTCGGAGGAAATCCGCCATTCAAGGGCCCCTCAGCTGGGAACACCGCGCGAAACCTGCTTCAAATTATTATGTAATCGCTCATATCAACACACACTCTTGAGCGATCTGGGGACGCGATTGGCATAATGCGCGGTAATACGTCACATTTGCAATTCCATGCAATAATAATATATCAATCATCGACCCTTTCAAGAAAGCATATTATTTTGGAAGTTTGAAAATAAAACTGACTATTTTTATATGACATTGCAATAAAAAGTAATAAACTAGTGTCCATTAATTTAAAAAAACTCTACATATTTTTTGAAAATAAAAAAGTATTTAAAAAATAATATAAATCGACTTTAATTTTTTATAAAAATAGTAATTTATATTAATAAATTATAATTTTGAAAAAAATGCATTGCATTTCTAGTATGTCAGTTGTGTATAACATAATTATCGATAATCTTATGCAAATTAAAATAGAATATATATTGCATTTCCCGTTTCAAGGATGCGAAAAGAGCGAGCTTCACTCATGCGACAATGTATAATACAACATTATTCTATCATGCATATATAGATTCACATGCGTTAGACTCACTCGAGTAATCAGCGTATCGCGTATTATTCTCGATCAGGACAACGTGGCCATTTTAACCCTTTCACGTCTAATGACTATTTTATGGATTAATCGACAGACTACGTATATAAAAGACTGTTGGAAAACATTTCAAGCTTATTAAGAGCGGCTATGAAATATCGAAAAATCGAAGAAGAACGTTATAAATATACGTGCAAAAAAAGATGTCTCAAAGTTATATAAACCTAATAAATATATATTTCAAAAATATAAAGAAAGGCAAACAATTTATGGAATAGACGCGATCATTATACTTGATCATACAATGCGACTAGATTAATTCAAAAATCATTCATGTCTCTTAATATTTTTGTTAAAGAAACGGATTTATTCATCTAAGCAGTAATTCTATCGTCGCCAATTATCTTATTATTATTTTAGTTTTGTCGTTAATCAAGGTGTCTACTCAAATCTTGTAAAAAAGTTCCTGATCTTCTAGATATTTTTGTACAAAATTTTAAGTAAAATTATACATTTTGCAACTTTTTAAAATAAATTTCCAAAAAGGTTTCTATTCATATTATCAAAAAGGAAGAAAAAAACATTTAAATTTCAAATATTAAATTTGAAAAAGTACTGAAGAGACTGAATGGCTTTCACAAGATAAGCATTTTTCATTTTTTATCATCAAGAATTAAAACTATTACGAGAGATTATGTTTACATACTCAATATTTTGCTGAGACATTAATAAACATAAACAGAGATATGTATTTATAATTTTAAACACAACATTCACAATCTTCATAAATATATTTTAAAAGATATTTAGATATTTATCTGTTTCATAAAATATAGAGCATGACTAAAGTACATTTAATCTCGATTTAGAATCAATTTTTAGACGCAATATACGACATAGCAATATCACTACCTAAATGCATATGCGAATGTGATCGTATCACTGTACTGATTATTAATTTGACCAATCGGCCGCTTGCAATATGAGAAAGCAAAATTGTTAAAAAATTGATACAATTTTCAAAAGAATTCTCCGAGAATCCCAATAAAAGGATTTCATGAAATTTCCTTAATTGTTCAAGGTAAAAAAGGAATACTTGAGAATTCTAGACTTTCCAGGTTTTCCCAGGAAGCGGACATCCTGTTAATGCGAATGTGCTGGGCCGGATGGAATATGCACTTATATGCGAAAAAACGCGGCTTGTTACGAGCACGCGCGATAATTTAACACTCCACGCGACATTTCACTCGAGACTACTGATACAAGTTCACTTTTCACGGGATAAAAACGTGAAAAACGCGGAAGAAAGACGCGATACGAAACTACTGTGGGCAAATATATAACGAACATAATTGCGTTGCGCTTCATTCGGTATTGCCAACATTTATTTTTCACGAAAGAAGCGCATACAACTTCGTACCGATTAGAGCGCGGAATTTCCAATATTCAAACACAAATCAACTTTTAAATTAAAAACGAATCTTGCATACATTTCAATATAATAAAAATGAAAAAACGTTTGATAACCGACATCTCACAATAATCAAACAATACTTTTGATCACTTTTAAAAACGTGAAATATATACAAGAAGCGACAAAATTATGGCGCAAACAAATACGGTGATTAAAAAATACTAGATCAAAATTCTATATATAAATCGAAAGATAAATAGTTAAAATCGCTTTCCCTCTACAATAATAGTTGAAATTATTTTCGAAAATAAAGATTTTTAAGAATTATATTAAATTATTTAAAATTGTTTAAAATCATAAAAAACGGTTTAAAATCGCAAACAAATTTTCATTATTTTAACATACTTATTTATATAATCAAAAATATTTGAGAATTGTATAAAATTTTTTCTGATTTTTTCCTAAAACAGAATCTATTTAAAAAAATATAAATTACTTTATAATAATTTACCGATATATAAATTTTATATAATTATTTATATAATTATTATATGAATGAATTTACATAATGAGAACACAATTGTGACATCTTTTTACAATTTTGAAACGTGAAAACAAATTGTCTTGAAAAAATTAAATATACAGAATATATACGACATACACATACATTTTGCAATGTTATTTAATGTATTTCGTTCTCATCGATAGAAGCAAACTGACAAATACATAGTGATCGATGAAATGTACGACGTATCTTTAAATAGTATTTTTGGAGAGACTGCTTTTTTCTCATCACCTAAATTACAATTCATACAATAAAATCATATAATTAGTTAGTAATTAATGATTAATAATAGTAATTAATGTATGTAATTATCCATATATCCGAAGATTACAAACTGTTAAATTCCTTCAACATCATATGTGCTTTGATTAAATGATAGTTTAATTAACATCAACGGTAACATTTATTTCCTACAAGTAAACGATTTGACCGAAGATAACTAGTCGTGAGTCATTAAAGTAGCTGCGCACGTTTGTATGATAATATTGCGTATGGTTTTACAAGTCTTTTTAATCTTTTCGCATTTTGTATACTTCTATGATATTCTGCATTAACACTCAAGGAATCAGACCAACTTTAAATTTTCGCTAACTAATTTCAAAAGAATGATGTTTTGTCACGTTCGAGTAATTTATAAAATACTGAATATATATCGATCTTTTAATATTCCATGTACCACATGTACTTAGAAATATTCAATTTTATCTACACGAAAATCTTACTATAAATCAGAAGAAAAATAAAAGAGAGAGACAAAACAGATCATTCAAATGAATCTAGCTATCGTATTGATGTGTAAAGTTACCAACAAATCTCTTAAAGTTACATTTAAAATTTTGTTGTAGAGCTTAAAACATATACATTATCCCTCTGCTACATGTATATTTAAGCATAAATCATCTTGTGTATGGAATCCTAATGGTAAGTATGGTAAATTCACGTATAATACATTAATTTATATATTTTATGTAACATAGCTAAAAATGATTCTCTGGAATTGCCCCAGTTGTGCTTGTCTTATATATCATAAACCTTGTTTCATAACATAACGTTGTAAAAAGTTGTATATATATATATTTACTTCCAAAATTAACCATCTCCAAAAATTTCTATCTTTCAGGACATCGAAATATGTGTACAGAACACCTCAATATATTTTCTTTTTAATTTACTTTCTATCCACACAATTTGTTGATTTATTGAAAGAAATAGATTTTTTATCCTATATTACTTGTCTATATTGTGTCATCTTCGAATTGGAAATGGTATTTTTCGGAAATAGAGATTTATACATATTTTTTCCGTGATTTCTTTTCCCAACATTATGTGTTACTGTATTAATATCGAAAATACATCAAGATTTATGATTCTGTTATAGCATGGGGCAATAGAAATGCTTATTGAAATGTTGAAGTACGTATCATACTGCAAATGCGTCAAATATTACATAGGAATAGAAGATTAATAAAAAAATAAAAAAAGCATATTTATTTTATTTTAAAATTGAAACATGAGAAACATTTTATTAAAATATTTAGGATACTATGAGTACATTTTGGATACTGTCAATGTATTTAAAAATTTACACAAAGATAAGATTTACTATTAATGTTTGATTGATAAAATTTGCTTTCTCTCAATGAATGCAATGTAATTTTATAGTTAAACTTAATTATAATTGACTCAATTGTCATTAGTATACGTTTAAATTGCAAATAAATAAGATACAATAAAAAAGTGAAATTTCACTATAAATATGATTAAGAATTGGCCAATCAATAATATATAATCAATATTACAATACAATAGCTTTGTTGCTAAAAGTAATCTGCCATAACACTTTTTAATATTTCATGTAATTTCCATTGTTATACCAATAATAATCATACAAAGTTATTAGGCAATAATTAATTGCGCAGTCCAAGTTTTAACTTTCATCAAGCTGGAAGATACATTTAACATTAAACAATCCCTACATCCTGAGGTAAGATAATGATAAGTGGATTTCTCCAAAGAGCATATTCAAATATTATATTTCCCCTAATGTTAATAGTTGTCAATGTTAATATCCCAGCTCCTATATCAATGATTGTGATGTATGTACTCTCACACTTAAAATATTAATGATGCCTCAAAGTTTCTTTGATTACACCGTTAATTTACTATTATCCTATTGCAAAGCAGAAAATTATCAACAAAAGAAGAGAAAAATATAAGAATAATTTTACATTTAAATCTAGTTTAAAAAGTCGAGCCTAAAAAAATGCTTCATTTTGAAATGTCAAGTTCAAAATCTAATTTAAATAAAATATACCACAACAATCAACACATGATGTTGGGAGAACACCTATTGGTATGAATTTATAATTGTTAAGATTAAAAGACAAAGAGATAGAGAGAAAGATAAGAGAGAGAGAAATTTCTCACAAGTTTTCGGCAATTTATTTTGAGCTCTGCTGGCTTATGCAGTCCGCTGGATGATGTGAATTCCGCTATCTGTGTGCACAGGCGAAGACAGCTCGCCTACCTTCAGCGTGAACGCCGCTTGCTCGAAAGGCTTTTGCATCGCGCCCCGACTAAAGGGCCCGAGGTCACCGCCGCGCTTCGCCGAACTACAATCGCTGTACTTGGAAGCGAGTTCGGCAAACGTCGCTTTACCGGACGCGATTTGTTCTCTATAAGCTGTCAACAATATATTCTCTATGTAACATCACATGGCAAAAAGAATATTCTATTCGCAAACAAAATGCAATAAAAAATATTTATAAAAGATTACATTTAACAAGTTCAAGAGCATCTTCTTTTGACCTAGTAATATTTTCTTCTCGCCAGGAAGAAGGCCGTCGAGAGCCTGAATGTTTCACAAGTAGATGAGAACATTGTACTTCTTCCGGACCATCCGCTTTGCCATTACCAGATGGATCCGCAGGTTTATCTGGCCTATCCCATTGACTCTCCTTAGTATAAATATTTAAATAATAATGTTGACCTGTAATTATGATACAGATTCCTGTAAAAAATTGACTGAAAGATTATGATTACAATAGTGTTATATTTATTTAAGACAGACATCTAAATCTGTGTTTTCTCTTCATTTCTTCATTGCTCTTTATGTTTGTATGAATAAAAACTTGATTATTCTAAACTGAGTGAACATTAAGATCATCAATTAAATACAAATCGAAAATAAAATTATATATGATAGTTCGACAGTTCGTAAAGTATACTTTTAGATCTAATTAAGTTCATATATTTTATAACAATTGTGCCAATCATCCCTTTTGAGAATACTTGTCTTTACGTAGTATGTATTAAGTTCACATTTAAATAACAGTTTGCAGATTTGTAAAAGTTGTTATGTGAGAGACAAGACCCAAGAAGATCCCTGCTAAATATTTCATAAGCCAAAATTTCCGACAAATCAATAAATAACTTTCGTAAAGCAAATTCTTCCCTTTTTTATAATAGATATTTGCGTGACGCGAGGTCTATCGACGAAAATGAAGCTCGACGAAACGGTTCCTCGGCACAGCATTCGATCGTTTCTCGTCCTCAAAAATTCATATCGATACGAAGTACGAAATTGACAAGAAAATTCGGCGGAATCTCGAGGGGAGCCTTGCCTTCGGATTGATCGTATCGGCGAAAAAATGCCGGCGAATGAATGGGACGCGTGATCTCGCCGGTGACGAAATTCGTCGACGACGAGTCGCAAAAATCGTGATCCCGATTTCGAGAGAACGTACCGGTCGATCTGCTGAGACGTTTCTCCCATCCTGCTGGTAGCTCCTCGTCCGCCATTGCCGTGTCGGGGGAGTATTTTCGAGATAATTTCGACGTTCTCCCTCACGTCAAACGCCGCGGATCGTCTCCATTGCGCCGAGATTCGTGCCAGTCGAGCCGCCAGGCTCGCCAACCTCCCCGAGAATAATCGCTTTTTCGACGCGACGTGAAATCTCGAACGGGTTAACGTCACGTCTGATCTCGCGATCGTTCCGTCTCTAGCACGAAAGATTATCCGGCGTGTCTCGTGCTGCTAAATTTCCCTCACTTTACGCATGTACAGGCGTATGGAATCTTTGCGAATTCTACAGACCTGCGATAAATTTCGGTAGCATGACAACTAGAACATTTTTACACCTGGGCGACACGGCGAACAGATGGTGCGAAGGATTTTCATAACCTCTCTCTCTCTCTATCTCTCTCTCTCTCTTTCTCTCTAGTACATATGACACCGTACTACTTTTGCTTTGTTTACACTTTTGTAAACATTTTATTTCACAAATTTTTTTCTCTTATTTCTTAAACATAATTGTCTATAATTCTCTGTACTCCTTGCTGTGAAATTATGTTAAAAACTTTTCATTATTTTTTAATAATATTGATCATTTCATAGCATTATATTGGTTTCTTATATCTACTAAATGTTTTTGATATATCTCATTTTTTAATATGCCAATATATAGTACATTTGCTGTTTTTTTTTTTCATCATGTATAAAAATTTATAAATTTGTATAAATTAATAATAAAAATCTATATATAAGACACTGTATAAGATGATTTTTAATTGTATATCTGAATATATTTCAGCAGAAATTTAGAATAATATAAATTGTTCAAGATTCTTCTTAAGTTGTAATAAATTACAAAAATACTAAAAAATACTACTTATTTTCCACTCCAATATACATTATAGCATGATCTATGTATAAAAATACCTAAAATATATGCTACATATAATCCAAGTATATTAATATAGTTTTTAATTGCAGTTTCTTTGCGACTGTACAATATTGCAAGCCCAAATTGCAAACATCACAATATAGGCAAATAAGAAACCTGAAGAAGTCACAGATTTCTCTTAAACAATCAGAGTCCCCTTTTCCAAATGTTCATATTGAAACTGGAACTATACAACCTGCGAGGTTGTGGAAACATCTCGGTTTCACCATCATGGTAAATAAATAATTCACAAAATTATTCATGGACTTTCCTTATGGAATCAAACAATATATTTTATAGTTTAAACAACACATCTGTTCCATTTATGTGTAAAAAGAAATAAAACGAGTTAAAAAGTATAGCAGTATCAAAGAAAAAAAATATATTCTTCTGAAATTGTTGCCAATAATGTTGGAAATAGAATTTGATTGTCGCTAATATCTGTGATAGGGTCTCTTATTCTTTAAATACTTCGAAATAAATTATTTTTTAATATTTAGCAACATTTTTGTTCCATCAGTTTAGCAGTGCCTCTATGGTCGGTGCTGCAATTTGGGAATATGAGCGTATCAGAAGCCAGACATACAAAATAATCCAACGTTTTAGACAGTTTCGAACTAATGTACGTATTAGTTAAAGAAATATTTAGTAGATGATTTTGCATGTTTTATTGTATATACAATAATATATTGGTTAGCGAACAGGATGGAGGGGCGAAATGGAGACATGGTGGAGAAACTTGACGGAAGGACAGAAAATGTTTGTGCCTATATGTTTTTTAAATACAGTCATATTCTTAGCTTGGCGAGTGCCGGCATTGCAGAAGTCGATGGTGCGTTACTTTTGCGCCAATCCTGCCTCCAGTAAGTGGTATTATCGTCTCAAATATTTGATGCAAAATCTTGCAACATTTGTTTTTTTCTTTTTCGGATTATTGTAAATATTGATTGTAATAATTCTTATATATAAGGTGCGGCGTGCTGGCCTATGGTACTTTCTACCTTTTCGCATTATTCCGTATTTCATCTGGCTGCAAATATGTATGTATTACATAGCTTCAGCACGATAGCTGTGGCAGCGTTGGGAAAGGAGCAATTTTTAGCAGTCTATTTATCAAGTGGAGTGATAGCCAGTTTTGCTAGTCACGTATACAAAACTATGTTGGGTGTGCCAGGCCTTTCTTTAGGAGCGGTAAGCAGCTTTATTATAAAAAAAAAATATTGATAATAAACTTTATACAATATATCGTTAATATTCCGCAAATTCACAATTATTTTTGAAAATACAAGTCATTTGCATGCTCTAGAAAATATTTTCTCTTTTACATTTATTATATAAATAAGCTTTATCTTTCTTTATCTTTCAACAATTTTTTTTTCTATTTCAGTCAGGGGCAATTATGGGCATTCTTGGATTTATTTGTACACAATATCCTGACATTCAACTCAGTATCATTTTTCTTCCTATGCTCACGTTTACAGCCGGTATGGTATGTATCCTCATTTTTTATATTGAAATTTGGATATAACTTTGATTACATAAATGTAAAAATAGTATTATTTTTATATATCTTGGTATTATATATTTTTTTGTAATTTTGTTATATTTTTGCAATATTTTTCATTTAGGCAATCAAAGGAATAATGGCTTTGGATGTTGTTGGTTGTACCTTAGGATGGAAATATTTTGATCACGCTGCACATTTAGGTGGTGCATTATTCGGAATGTAAGTTCAATCACATAACAAAAATCAAGTTATAAAACTTGTAAATTGTATTATTATATATTTTGATATATTTTTTCTTCGAAAAAGAAAAAAATTGAGAATATTATTATTCAAATGCTCATTATAAATTTATACAATGCTAGATAATTTTTAATTAATAAAAATTTTCATTTTTGTCAAATAGTATAAATCGCATTATAATTTCTTTTTTTGAAAATTGCAGATTCTGGCAGGTTTGGGGCAATGCTAATATCTGGCAAAAGCGAGAACCACTTTTGACTCTCTGGCATGGATTCCGAGAACCTCGTAAATCACAATGATATTTTCCCTATTCTAGATTTTATTTATATTATATTCTATCCTCAAATTGTAAAGTTTCTATTATCTTGCAAGAACAAATTTGCCGAAAAATGTAGATATGCATTATATATTTTTATTATTTATACATCGTTTTTACATGATGAAATATAACTTTATCATTTCTCAAAAAAACAATAAGAAATTATATCAAAATAATCATTCATATAATTTTTATAGAAAAATGCAATTTTTTTCTTGGAGAAAATGTATCATTTTAATTTACAATAATTCTAAATCTCTGATAAGAAATATAATATAGATCGCAATATATCTCAAAAATCTAATGTTTTTAATAATAGAGTAATAATATAGGATATACTTAACTTTTAAGATATTTTATATGATGCTTGAAATGATCCTCGATGAATGTAGCTATAAAGTAATAGCTATGATCATAACCGTCCTGAAATCTGAGAACGAGTGCTATCCCATTATCTTTGGCAGCGTTTAATAAATTCTCTGGTAATAGTTGACCTTGTTTCAGAAACTGATCCTCATTGCCCTATAAATGTTCAAACTTTTATTATAAAATACAAAATACAAATTTTTCTTACGAAGCCCAAGTAATTAAAAGATTGAAGGAAAATCCTAGAAATATCAATTAAATGACTAAGGAAATAAGATATAAATTAAAATTAAATATAAATATATATTTTTAAAATTAAACCTGATCAATTAAGATGTCCAAAGGTGGACCATCATATATTTTTGCTAGTTCTGTAGCATCCCATTCTTTCCATGCAACATTATCTTCTGGCCCTCCCAGATATCCTGAGAAAGCATTCTTTCCCCATGGAGACAAAATTGGATTACTTATAGGTGCAAAAGCTGAGACCGTTTTGTATTGTCCAGGGTTTTTAAGGGCGCATATTAAAGCGCCATGTCCACCCATACTAAACAAGAAAAAAAAGGGATATTTTAAAAATCACATTCAAAAATATTCTTGCAAAAAATTACTATTTTTCATACCTATGGCCCATTATAGACTGCCTATCCGATAAAGTTGGAAATTCTTTATTGATCAAAGCTGGCAGTTCTTTGGTAACATAGCTATACATCTTGTAATTTTTGTTCCACGGTTCGCGTGTTGCATCCACATAGAATCCTGCACCACTGCCAAAGTCGTATTTATCATTCTCCCCAGGAATATTCAATCCTCTTGGACTTGTATCAGGTATAACAAGAAGTATACCATAATTCGCAGCATATTTCTGAGCTCCAGCTTTTTCACTGAAATTAGCCTCGGTACAAGTGAGACCAGACAACCAATAGATAACTGGTACAGGGCCTTCTTCAGCCTGGGGTGGTAAATAGACAGCGAATTTCATCTTGCATCCTAATTGTAGACTGTTAAATAATTACAATCGTCTATTTCACTGAGTGCAAAGTATTTTGCAGGAATAAATTTAATTGTAATTCATATTAATAAACTATATTTTTTGCATAAGTCGTGTATTTTACCTGTTGTGCGAATACACTTTCTGCCATCCTCCAAAAATTTTATTACTTTGCACTTGCGTTAACTCAGACATCTGAAAATTATTGTTAAAGTCTCAATAAACAATGCTCTTGAATGTTCCTAGATGATACAAATATTTTATCTCCTAAACTAAAATTTTGATGAATTATAAAAATGTTTATATTTTAAATTTAAGGACGTTGAGAGAGTATAAAATAAGATTATGGTTGGGTTAAGTTAGGTTAACCGATAAGTCGTCAAGTCGTCAAATGTAAGTATATTTATTATAGATACAAATATATATAATCATACATAATCGTATATCTCTCTTTACATAATATAATAATATTTAATCTTTATAAAAAATTTTAGATCAATTTTCTTAAAATTTAGTACGCATATATGTTTGAAACAACTTTTGTTAAAACTATTTGCATAAACGGAAGGAATAAGACGATAAAAATATAAAGTTTTTTATCTTTTTTTTATAAGTATTTTCGACTTTTTTTGAAAGCTTTACGTACTTTATATCCGAAATATGCGGATGATGCTTGTAGCTTCGGCCAAAATGCTCGTAAATTCACGCGCGCGAGAGGGCGAGAGATGCAAAATATCTTTAACATAAAAAACATGGTACTTTAAACTTTGATCTTTCAGATTTTTATGTGCATTATATACGCATTTATATGTATGTACCATACATATTTAGTATAGATAATACAACTTAAATAAACTTACTTGATATGAAAATTATATAACCATGGTGATGGTTTTTTTTTTAAATAATCATAAAGAAATATCAAAATAAAAGCTCTTAAAAGCTTTTTTTCTTAAATATATGGAAAATGGCATGGATTAATTTTTCCATTGTACAATTTTATTTATTATATCAACAGAATCATCATCACGATTTTTTTCCTAATTGTTGCTTCTCTTGTATACTAGAGGATCGCTTTGACAAGGCAATTTTTGTAGGACACGATTCGCACTTTGTATTCTTTCTTGAGATGTTACTTGCTGCTGAAATAAAATACAAATCATAAAAATTAGTAATTATCAAGACATCGAAAAACGAGAGATATTTGAAAAAATTAATTACTTAAAATTTAGAATATTTAATATTTGTTTTATCTCGATTCAAGTATTCTGATAATATGAAAATTTAAAAATAGATATGTGATGCAAAGATATTTAAATGATATTGTTATATGTATATATGTAATGGTATTCTTAATGCGCGTACATTTCTCGAATTGTGGTTCTATCTTAACTACACTGCCGATGCTCTCTCTCGATGATGCGAAAACGCTCGTACGGCTCGTACTCTTTGGAAGCTGATCTAACGAGCCTGCAGAACTCCCGTATGGACTTATGGACGATCTGATCGACGGAGGAAAGCTTGGCAATTCGATATTTTTGGCTATCAGTAATTTTTTAACATACGCTTCAGCTTCTACATGACGAATCGTGAACTCTGCAATGTCTTGCAGGACCAGCGCGTTCTGTTCTTGGAGCTCGCGCAGTTCTACCTCTCTCTGAAAAGCGTTTGAAGATGCAATCGTCAAAAAATGCAATTCATCATCGGCAGATTTTCTATGCAGCCTTTTACCTGCTGTAAAAGTACGATGTCGTCTCTCTTAAGAACATACAAGTTTTGTATATCCTTTTGCGCTTTACGAAGATTCTTATCGGCCCTGGATATCTTCTCTCCCTGTTCCACTGTCTGTTTCTCAACACTTAATAAATAATGTTGCTTATTTTCCTTCTCTTCTTTCATTCTCTCGATGTCATCGAGTAGTTGAGTATAATCATTCTGTGCTGTCTGTCCAATACAATTGTGTATTAATCATATATTGTTTCTTAATAATTAGGGAAGAAAGCTCCTATATATAGATATATGCAAAATACCTGCAATTTATCGGACAATTGTTGCAGTTGTGTTTGCTTTTGGTGCAATTTTTGCCGTGCATCACGCATTTGCTCCTCGAGTGTCTTCTGTTCCATCCATTCCGGTGCGTCCTGATCGACCGCCACCAGATTGTCTCTATATTTATCGTTGCACACGTTTACTACGCGTAACGTGTTCTCCATGCTACGTATCTCCTGCTCGGTTCGTCCGATGACTTCGTCCAGCTTGTCACCTCGCTCCCGCAACAGATATCGCTCCTGAGCGCTTTGTATTTTCAGATATGCAGTGGTCATCGGCAACCCTTCCGAAGTGGCACCCAACGTAGCGATGCCACTGTCATATCGCGCTTGCAGCTGCCGTATCCTGCTTTTTCTTTCGGTGATAGCAACCCGCAGTTCCGAGCATTCGTTGCCAGCAACCCTCTTTTGCACGACGAGCGCCTCTTTCTGCGCCGCGATTTCCGTCGCGCGCTCTTTAAGCGCCTGCGAGCAAAAATGGAGGTGTCATTTATGGCAATGGCTTGATTTTGCAATTGGAACGAATACAACTGATTCAAATTAAACAAAACTCTTGTTTTTAGACTAATATTCTCTTCTAATCATATTAATTAATTTTAATAGAGTAATCAATTTCGGAAATAAGACTTACCGCTTCGAGATGAAGACGATACTTTTCTAAATCGTAAACTTTATCGCTCACGTTCATTGTCATTCGTTCGAGCTGTGATACTCGAAGACGCATTATATTTTCCTCCACCTGTCTCTCCTCGTTCCGGGATTGCGCAGTCTTCAGTCGTTTCTCGCCTCCGTCCAGGAGCAATAGCAGATCCTGCTTCTTGCTCCGCAATCGTTCGAGTTCGTCGTTCTCGTTTGACAAGCAAATAGATATTTTTCTCATGTCATGCTGAAAAGAAAAAAAAACATTCTCTTTGTTTAAATTTTATTCAAATAAATTTTCTTTAACTAAGTTTTAATATACTTTGACTGTACTTTTTTTTTTAAACTAATTTTAAATTTATTTTTATTGTATGGCATAAACTTAAAAAAAGAAGTGCGAAATTTTACCTCTAAACTGACGATCTGGTTTTGCAGCAATTTAGATGTGGCTGTTCTCTCGTTCAGTACAGCTTGCAGCTCCTCAATTTTCGTCTGCTTCCTTTCGGCTTCGCTCTTGTCGCGTTCGTATCCTCTAATTCGCTCGAGTTTCATCTCACACTTTTGCAGATTAAATTCCACTCGATAGAGATCTTCCTTTTTCTCACTTAGCAGTTTCTTCTCTTTCGCTAGTAATCCGGCAAGCAAATCGACTTTCTTGTGTTCGCCCTGAGTTTGCACCTGCATCGTCTTTCTTTCGTTCTCCAATTCTCCAATTCTCTTCGTTGTACGTAAAATTGCGACTTGCAGCCGATTCAATTCCTTGACAATTACGGATTTCCGTTTTTCGTCGTGCTAAAAGTATTAAATTGTAACAAGTTATTATTCTTTCCAAAACTGCTCGCATTACCATATTATAGTCGATTCCCCTTCTTTTGATTTGGCATCAATCTCTACACATTACAACATGTACATACTTCGATCATCTTTTCCAAGCGTTTTGTTCTCTCTTCAACATTTAACTTCTGGTTCTCTATTTCCTCTAAAGTTGACATTAGATCATCGATCCGTTTCTTGCAATTGTCCACTTTTATATATTTGTTCTCGATCTCAATCTTTTTACGTTTCGCATTAGCTCGAACTTGTTGTATACGACGTCCCAGATCCCCCACTAATTTTCTCTGGATATGAACCTGTCTCAATGATTAGCGACAATCATTGTCAAGTTATAAAGATAAATCAAAATAATGAAGCAACAATTTAAATTAACATACAATAATTTAATAAAGAGATTTATAATTTTATAAAAAATATGATATATATAAATCTTCTGTTGCCTTCATACCTCGATGGCGTAAATATCAATCGCCTCTGTGATTTTACGCTGTTTCTCTCGGTTCGCGACAAGTTCCTTCTCCGATTGTTTAATCAGTTCCTCCAGCTGCTTATTATTTACAATCTGATCTTTTAAAAATTTCTCCATTTCTTCGAGATTGTTCTTCTTCTCTCTATCGATTTCTCGCAATGTTTCAATTTCCTACGATTTGTATATATATTTGATTGTATATATATATTTTTGTATATATTCTATGCAGAAGTTGAAAAAAATCGATTGTATATACTTTTAGGCTGTTTTGTATATCATTATCCCTTTGTCGCAGAACGTTAACGCTTTGCGTCCATTGATTTATCATCTGCCTCCGCTCTTTTAACGCTTCCATATACAATTTTGTTGTACGATCCAGAACAATCTCCATCTCTTGTACTTCGTCGAAGGCTTTGACAATAGCTTGGCGATAAGTTTCAAGTTCTCCGCTGAGTTTCTGCCGTTTCTGCTCCAATTCCTAAAAATAAGATTATCTCTTCAATATATATTTAACACTTTTAGAGATATATAGAGATATATATTTTAATTGTCTTTGTATTACCTTATACTTTTGTGCATCGTGCTTCATGTAACTTTCTATCAGCTGATTATCCTCTTCCTTCTGCGTGAGCATCTCCTCACACTTACGTAAATTATCTTCGTCAAAATGGACTGTTTGTTTTGCTTTAACTAGCTTCTTCGTAATCTTTAGCAGCTCGTTCTCTATGCATGATACTCTGTGATTCACATCCGCCCATTCCTTTTCAAACTCGCGCGCCTCTTGACGTAGTGACGACTCCTTGTTGCCACTGAGTCGATATAGATGATCCTCTGTCTCCATTTGAGTCGAATGTTCTGCAAGCAGCTTCTGATTGAAATCGTGCCGCATGGCTATATCACCAGTGTGCTTTTTCATCATCTTCAGCCGTTCCTCAAGACTTTCCAGCTTCGCATTTAAAGAAATCTTATACTTAGTCTTTCTAGCAACCTGTAGCAAACGATATAAATGTCTAAGATATGGTTTCACATTACAGTTTATATAACTTTTTTTTCAATTTAACTTATAATTTAATTTAATTTTACTGTGCATAACATAATTATTTTCTATATTATTTTATATTTATATAATTGAGTATCATAATAAATAATATTCTCTATTGTAAGATATTAATAGTAGACAATTATTCTTCACTTTATAAACAATAATAAATATAAGAATCATTACTCAATTATGATAAATATCTTTTATTTCTATGTCTCTCTCTTTTTAAATGTTTAAAAAAATATTTTTGTTTACATTCAATAATTACACAAATCAAAATTATTTTTGGACAAAATCTTTGTTAACAAAAACTGATTATTTCGTAATCGTCTTTAATTCTTATCCGAGCAACTGGGATTTTCTATTCTACGAAATAGGAAGAACAACGATTAAATTTATTTATATTGTTTATTTTATTAATATTGTTTAAATAAATCAAAGGGAATTATAAGATCTCTTGAGATTCTCTGTCATATCTTTACCTCTTCTTCCAGACGTTTGTTCTCTTCGTTAGCTACAGGAATTCGGAAACCGTCCTGCCATCCCAGTTGGCTCAGGATCACATCTATATTTCCCGTCGCCATGTGTCAAAATATTCTACTGTTCTATGTCGCTAATTATTCGTAGCAATTCATAACAATTCATATAACAGTATGCCACGTTCGATGCGATCCGCGACGCGGCAACGTTTGTATTTTGTCACTATGGTAACCGACAGGATAGCCAATATAATAGAATGCCAAATTTACTAGAGTAATTATCTCTGTTCTAGAGACCTTCAAGGAAATGCGTTCGAAAATCCTACTCGTGGGGTAGAATAGCATTGAATTAACCAATTAGGATAAAGAAATCTTGGCTCGTTTTGTTACGTTCCGAAATGTATTCCTTGGAGTAGAGTCAGTAGACGTGAAAATGGCTTGTCATATGCTACATATTTGTAGAATTGTGAATAATTCGATAAAAAATACTCAATCTGTAAGCAATGGTAAGGCAAATGAAATATATCACTGTTTATAAATCATTATATAATTTACATATATACTTAAAGTTAATTTATCTCAATTTAATCTATACATTAACTCTAGCAAAATTATGAAACTTTCAGGTATATGTAATTTATTGTCTGTTAATCACTCACATTTGTTAAAAACACACGTTCCTTTACTAAGTAATGCGAGAGATTCTACGTTTTTTGTGAATAGTGAGTAAAACTTTTATGGATGTACGTTTTGACAGTAGTTTACTCTCACAGTAGAAAATAGTTTGTATCTCATCATGCTTCTCTTTTGCAGAATCTGGAGATGAATTGTGGAAGGGTGTGACATCTGTCAGTAATGCGGGAAAACGCAGAGGTAGAGCAAGAGGATTACCAAGAAAAAGAGATCTAAACAAAGGACAGATTATTGGTGTAGGAAAAATTCCAATACAATTTCCTGGCCTAAATACTTCTGTATTTAGAGGAAGAGAATTAGTTCAACAGCAAAAGTTACCTATAGATCCTGAAAGAGAGGAGAAACTTGCAAAATTACGACAGAGTCAGACTGGATCAAAGCGAGTAAAATTATCCCCATTGGAACGTGGATGGACGAGCGCTGGAATGGGTGGCAGAAAAATTGGACCACCCGATCCTATCGGAGAAGGTTGTTAATATTTACACTATAATTGAATTATATATGGTTAAATTACAAAATCATGTGACATGGTATATTTAAGTTTTCAATTTTTTTTTTGTTTTAGTCCAGATAATATTAAAGAGTTTCAAATAATTAATATCTTTATCCTACAGATAATTTTGAAGGTTTTCAAACCTGGATCTCTTTTTAAATGTTTAAAAAAATATTTTTGTTTACATTCAATAATTACACAAATCAAAATTATTTTTGGACAAAATCTTTGTTAACAAAAACTGATTATTTCGTAATCGTCTTTAATTCTTATCCGAGCAACTGGGATTTTCTATTCTACGAAATAGGAAGAACAACGATTAAATTTATTTATATTGTTTATTTTATTAATATTGTTTAAATAAATCAAAGGGAATTATAAGATCTCTTGAGATTCTCTGTCATATCTTTACCTCTTCTTCCAGACGTTTGTTCTCTTCGTTAGCTACAGGAATTCGGAAACCGTCCTGCCATCCCAGTTGGCTCAGGATCACATCTATATTTCCCGTCGCCATGTGTCAAAATATTCTACTGTTCTATGTCGCTAATTATTCGTAGCAATTCATAACAATTCATATAACAGTATGCCACGTTCGATGCGATCCGCGACGCGGCAACGTTTGTATTTTGTCACTATGGTAACCGACAGGATAGCCAATATAATAGAATGCCAAATTTACTAGAGTAATTATCTCTGTTCTAGAGACCTTCAAGGAAATGCGTTCGAAAATCCTACTCGTGGGGTAGAATAGCATTGAATTAACCAATTAGGATAAAGAAATCTTGGCTCGTTTTGTTACGTTCCGAAATGTATTCCTTGGAGTAGAGTCAGTAGACGTGAAAATGGCTTGTCATATGCTACATATTTGTAGAATTGTGAATAATTCGATAAAAAATACTCAATCTGTAAGCAATGGTAAGGCAAATGAAATATATCACTGTTTATAAATCATTATATAATTTACATATATACTTAAAGTTAATTTATCTCAATTTAATCTATACATTAACTCTAGCAAAATTATGAAACTTTCAGGTATATGTAATTTATTGTCTGTTAATCACTCACATTTGTTAAAAACACACGTTCCTTTACTAAGTAATGCGAGAGATTCTACGTTTTTTGTGAATAGTGAGTAAAACTTTTATGGATGTACGTTTTGACAGTAGTTTACTCTCACAGTAGAAAATAGTTTGTATCTCATCATGCTTCTCTTTTGCAGAATCTGGAGATGAATTGTGGAAGGGTGTGACATCTGTCAGTAATGCGGGAAAACGCAGAGGTAGAGCAAGAGGATTACCAAGAAAAAGAGATCTAAACAAAGGACAGATTATTGGTGTAGGAAAAATTCCAATACAATTTCCTGGCCTAAATACTTCTGTATTTAGAGGAAGAGAATTAGTTCAACAGCAAAAGTTACCTATAGATCCTGAAAGAGAGGAGAAACTTGCAAAATTACGACAGAGTCAGACTGGATCAAAGCGAGTAAAATTATCCCCATTGGAACGTGGATGGACGAGCGCTGGAATGGGTGGCAGAAAAATTGGACCACCCGATCCTATCGGAGAAGGTTGTTAATATTTACACTATAATTGAATTATATATGGTTAAATTACAAAATCATGTGACATGGTATAATTAAGTTTTCAATTTTTTTTTGTTTTAGTCCAGATAATATTAGAGAGTTTCAAATAATTAATATCTTTATCCTACAGATAATTTTGAAGGTTTTCAAACCTGGATTTTGGAATGCAAAACGGTGACTTGTATGACTGGCAATTTAGGGCGTAAGACTAGAGCCAGTGGATGTATAGTAACAGGAAATGGAAATGGACTAGCTGGATTTGCAGTAGCAAAAGCATCTGTAGCCAGAGCAGCCTTAAGAACAGCTAAGAATAGGGCAGGTCAAAGATTAATATATATTCCTAGATATAAAGAACACACCGGTAAGGAAATAATTTGAATACTATATAACATAAAATTTTTATTCCTTTTTTTAATATCATTTTGTACTTTTCAGTGTTGCATGATTTCTTTACACAGTTTGGGAATACAAAGATATTTGTAAGAAAAAAGCATGAAGGATATGGGCTTATTTGTCATCGTGCGTTAAAAGCATGTTGTGAGGCAATTGGCATAAAGGATATGTATGCTAAAGTAGAAGGAGCTAAGAATGTAAAGCATCTGATAAAAGCATTCTTTATTGGTTTATTGCAACAGGTATATATATAAAATATCTTACAAAATATATTATACTTTTTCTTTAATCTATATTAAAAAGAAAGGAAAGAGATTTTATTTATAGGAATATATATATAAACATGAAAAATGCAGATCGTGTTGATTAATGTTAAAGTATTTTACTCTAACCATAAAATTATGAACATTATTAACAATGATTTCTTGCCTATTTAAACTTTATAGGGATGCATAAGTAACAATCTTTTATTTAGTGTTTCAAGCATATTTTTTCTCATAGAACTTTCATTTAATTATTATATTATTAAAGCTATTGAATCAAATAGAATTAAAGTTGGCTTTCTCATTGCGATCTTATAACAGATTATAATGTCAGAAATTATATTTTAACTTATTGCAATATACCACAAAGCAAATCAATCCCAAAATAATATGGAAATATTTGCAGAAATCATATCAACAACTAGCGGATGAAAAACGGTTGCACTTGGTCGAGTTTAATCCGGAAAATGGTAACTATCCAGTAGTACTTGCTTCACCATCTGAAATTAGAAAACCAGAAGAAATTCCGTCCAATGAGACTCTCGATTTTACTCAATATATAATGGGTAACAAAGTGGTATTGAAAAAGAAGAAATTTCCGCCGTTCTTCACTAAACTTCCGCTTTATAGAAGAACATTGGTAAAACAAGAACGAGTTAGAAACTCCGATAAAACGAGAGTACAATTACTAGCAAAATATGGAGCACTTCATAGTTTTCTGACAGAAAAATATCCAGAGGCAAAACCACATCGTAAACAAAAATCAAGCGAGAATGATGAAACAGTAGAATAAAGAAGCATATAATTGTTACGCTTTTATGTATAAATGTTTCAAAATAAAAACTTTATGCTTGAAATACATTGGAAATTATAGAATTAAATATGTGCATATAAGAGATCCTAAAATTTTTGTCCTTTTTTTTCTAAAGATTCTTTAGGTAGATCTGATTTTTCTTTCGTAAAAGTGTTGAGACACTTGTAATCTGAATATTTGATATTGCACGTTTCTCATATTAACTTTCATTTTCCATATATGTGGATTATGGTCTATTTTAAATACTATATCAACCTATCAAAATATAATTTTTATGATATATATCCTTCTCGATAATATCGTGCAAATGCCGTTTTTTTAAACGAATGCCAGCAAATAGTAGGACTATGACAAAATAGGATGAAATGGACATTCTTCTATAAATTTATAGTGAATTCATATGGTCCTAGGATCATCGAGTCCAGGGTACCGATCATGTAACTTTTTCCCTACGGCGGAAACGTGAAAAGTGGAAAATATTAGTATTGAAATCAATGGCAAAATTTTTCACTTTTCCGTTGAATTCCATTTTTTTCGTCAAACATGCTTACAGGGCCATATAGATGTGGAGGGGATAGCGCACACAAGCGTAAACCGTGTACAACGCCCCTCCCCCCCCTTTGGATGCGGCAGTACCAGGAAACTGGCATCGCTGCTTCTAAATAGTTCAGTTTCCGGTGGTCAGTGGTCGGTGGTGGTCGGTGGTGGTTGATAGTCAGCAGTAAACGAACGATTCACGTGTTGTAAACTCGTGAAATCTTCTGATTTCAGAAACTACTTCTCTTCTTCTTCTTCTGCAACCTTTCTGTTAGTAGCGGACAATCTTTTGACTTCAAAACATCTCTGGCTAGAATTGGATTCAACGATCGCCGAATAATCAATTTAATTTCGGCTGGTGCTACCACGTATTTCCTCAGGTTGACGTATATTTACGTTTATTTATATCAATATGATTTAAATTTGTTCACCTTAATGAAGATATACTTTGTATTATATAAAAATTGAATACTATATTCTTCTTTCTAATGTGATATATAACATATTCGTAATTAAACATCCGCGTGGTTTGTGAGAAATTCAAAGTTAAAGATTATGATCTTCATCTATATTTTTTACTACTCAACACAAATATATACATAAATATATTAATGAAATCTTTCAATAAATAATATATCTCTCACGCAGTTCGGGGCTCCGAATAATGTAATCGCGAGATTAATTTTCAAACTATCCACGTTCAGTGATTCTAGAATTCAGACGCGAGCACATGCAATCAGTTGAATGGATACACACACAAGCGTGAACCGTGTACATTTAATGCGCGGAGTGCTCTGCACATTACACGTATACAATTCACATTTGTGTGCGTATTCGATTGCAAGCTCCTCGCGTCTCAATTCTGGCGTCACTACCACGTGTGTCTCGCACATATTGAGATTCCAAGCTTCGCTATTATTTGTTCACCTTAATGAAGATATGCTGCGCATTATATAAAAATTGAATATTATGTTTTCTTCTTTCTAATGTGATATATAACATTCGTAATTAAACATTCGCATAGTTTGTGAGAAATTTAAAGGTAAAAATCATGATTTTCATTTATGTTTTTTACTAGTCAACACAAATATATACATAAATATATTAATGAAATCTTTCAATAAATAATATATCTCTCGCGTAATTCGGGGCTCTGAATAATGTAATCGCGAGATTAATTTTTAAACTATCCACGTGGTAGTGATTCTAGAATTGTGACGCGAGGCATGCAAACCCGATTCACACACAAGCGTGAATCGTGTACATGTAATGCGCAGATCGCTCTGCGCATTACATGTACACGATTCACACTTGTTGCGTATCGGGTTTGCATGCCTCGCGTCTCAATTCTAGCATCACTACCACGTGTGTCTCGCACGTGTTGAGATTTTAAGTTTTGCTACTTACAGAGTTTCAGTATATATTGCGATGGCGATTATTACGTTGTAACTTATGAAATTGTGCTGTAAATAATTCTAGCATTTGAATAAAAAATCTATGATTGTAAATTTTACAGATCAAAAAATGTCTTGTAAAAATATGAACCGCATCCTCTACGCCGTTTCTGTATAATAGAAAACTATTGTTTTCCGCATAGAAGCGTTAGAGTGAGTGAAACGCGGCGACATCTTTTTGCTTGGTTTTCTTTTGCCCCTTGCATCGCGCAATGAGAACTAGGGGGCGATGGTGAACAAATTGTAAATTTAAATCATAGACATACAAAGATATAGATTTAGATTTTATGTCTATAGTTATATATATGTCTATAGTTTAAAATTAATCATTGAATAATTTGCAGGATAGCAACATTAAAATTAAAAAATTTCTATTAAACTATATACAATAATTATATTGTTAAAGAAATTTGATGTCATCCTGCAAATTAATCAATGATTAAATTTAAATCATATTGATAGAGATGGGCATTAGTTAGATTAGCAATATATAAAATAAATCTGCTCATGCGAAGAATACGAAAATTCCTATTGTAGTGAGAATGATAAAAAATAGCGTGGTATCATTAAGGATCAAAAAAATCCATTAAAAGAAATTTAAAATTTAATTTTTTAAAACTTTATAAATTTTTAAAAATTTACATTTTGTATTAGTTATCCACATTATATATAATAATTGCATACTTATTTTCTAAATATATATGAAGAAATTGCTACACATTTGTATATATGTGATATAATGATATAATGAAATTTACATATTTTCATTAGGAGTTAAAATGAACGCTGATTCCGCCCACATTGGTAAATATTTATTACTTTGGCATCTATTTCTTTGAAGAGGATATATAAAATTCTATACAATATATATATTTTTATGTACATATAAAAATTTTTATGTACATATATTATTATGTACATATATATATTATTATATACATTATTATGTATATATATATATTATTATATATATATTATTATGTACATATATATTTTAAAAGGATATAACACATATATTAAATTTTATATCTTATATGAATATCTTTTTTTTATATATAAAATTATGGGAATCAGAGAATACTTAAAACATCTTTATTCTATAAGAAAATATGAAAGGAAACATAAATGGAAAATGTTTTGCATGTGTTTATAAGATTGTTTAATATTTGTTCGATTTATTCATGTGAATGTTGTTTTATTGCCAGATCCTTTTCTCTATGACTGGGTGGAGCATCTTCATGAAATTATGAAAGAGCGGGAGCAAGAGATAATTAATGAAGGACAGTTAATCATGCCATATGATGGTAAGCAAAAATAAAAATATTATATAATATTCATGGAATATTCAAGTAATAATGTTACTACGCTACAATGTTAATTATTTTAAATTATAGCAATTACAGTATCCGTTGTCATAGCTGCCACCCACATAATGGATACTGTAGGACTGGATCGTCACATAAAGTATATGGCCCTTGAGTTGTTTGACAAATTTATGAACAAATCCTATCAGGAGGCTTACAATATGAGAAAAAATGAGTCTGATGAATGGTTACAAACCGTTAGAAGAAAAACCTCTATTCATACACCATTCTATCTTTTATCGTGCTTTCAAGTGGCATGCAAAGTAAACTCTCACCCCAATAGTTTAAAAATATCAGAGGTAAGGCAATACTCTTTTTGCATTTAAAATACTATAATAAATTTTGCCAGATAAAATAACGCTTTACTTTTGTGTTTTCTTAGATTCTTCAGCTTGCACAACTATTTGTTAAAGATTATGAATACACACGAGAAATGGTAACCGTGATGGAAGTTGAAGTCCTCAAGAAAGTAGGATTTAGAATGCCCCTCTATACACCAGTGTATTGCATTGAAGTTCTTATCGAAGGATTGAATTCCTTCAAAATTACTTTTGTAAGCGAAGAAACAGAAAATGGAGAAGAACTACATAAGGCTTCGTTGTTATTATTAGACATAGCTTATTTGAAGGTTTGTAAGATTTTTCTATCTAATTCTTCTATTTCTCTCATTGTGCAATTTTTAAATATATTCAAGTATTATATTCAAAATTCTATTTTTAGTACGAAGAATTAATAAACATGTATGATCATACCCACTCAAAATGCGTATGCAGAAATGCTCAAATGAGCATACAAGAGAAGTTGCAGAAATTAAAAATATTGAAATCGAATGCACTTTTACTAAGTGCAGCGATAGTGTTGTGTGCAGGATACATTTTATATCCAAAAGTAAGCAGTACTAGATTGAGAATTATTGTGGCAAAGTTAGCAGAATTGGCAAATACAATGGACTCTGATATTATGATTATGGCAAATATGTTATACAAATTAGTGCAATATAAAATAAGTAGCATAAATGTATATATATAAAAATATGTATGTGTACATAATATACATGTAAATATATATAACTGTGTATTATGTCAATATTTTGTAAATGTAAGTTGATAATACATAATAAATTGTGCAATTTAGAAAATATATATTCTAACTCTTTCATTAACTCAAAAACTCTCTTTATACACGCACAACTCCAAGATATGTATAAGCCAACTGCACACACAAGGGAAACCTTCAATTATTAACTGTAGAAACGTCGATGAGAAATTCGCACATTTACAAAAGATACTAAAACGCTCGTCCTATCTCGCACAGAAGATATCTATCTCACCTTTCTATCGATTCAAGTTTTTAGTTCATAATCTGTGATGGCGGAGGGAGGTATCATTGACCCCGATGGTTCCTTTCTTTTCTCGGTCGCTCTCATTTCACTCCTTTCACCATACCCTATCATACACACGCTCACCTTTCACAGGACGCACGCGCGCGTTTTACATCCATTCATCGCGGGAATATACGCTACTACGCGAGCAAAACTACTATCTGTTCTGCCGAAGCGGACACTTCCTTTCTCTGCAAAAAAAAGAAAAAAAAACTAAGAATGGATCTAACATTCATCTTGTCTTTTAACTTGCGGACAGAGCGCGAGAAAATGCAATTAAGCGAAAAACGGATCTCGTTCTCGTGCGCGTCACGATTAGTCATTGCATTGGCATTCATACATTGTATTTGTGCGAATTTTCAGTGTGTCGCGAGTGGCTGGTGCACGAGGATGGGGCGTTGGCCTACCGGCTTCAGGATGAAGAAAGTACGTAAAAATCTTACGCATATGTTTGTCTTTTTCACGTGCGTAGAAAGTGCCAAATTTGTGCAGGGCTGTTCTAAGAATATCGCCTGCCCTAAACGCTGACAAAGCTTGCTATCTCAGGGTGAGCGAAGGCGATAAAAAATTTGTCTAGGGATCGAAACTATAATTAATGTAAAAAAGAAAATCGGTATTATGGGAAACAAGCTCGTTAAACTGACACAGGATACAGGTGTACAGGGAGAATGCAGTTTATTTTATGTTCGTATGATTAGGAACAATTCTGGAAATTTTATTGTTAAGTGAGAAGAAAAAGTACATAATATAACAGTTTTGCACCTTTTATTGACTGCTTGTAAAAGGCTTATGTTAATGTGTGATTTTTATGACTCACAGTCAAGGAGCATTATACTGGCAACAAGACGCGTAACGCACAAGTGAGGGAAGATGTGCCACGAGCCAGAGTTGAACAGGAATTGGAAGCGTTGAGATATCAAAACTACGTTCAACAACAGTTAGTAACATAATTGGTACAAAATATACGATTGTTTAAATATCTTCTTTTTTTAACAAAAAAATTCTTTTCTTAAGGCTCTGCACAAAAAACAAAAATAAAACAGGAATGACCTGTCCTATTTTGATTGTTTTTTTATTTCTCTATTTTTATTTGTTGAAGGGAAGAGAGAGATGCGCTTGTCGCACGGCAAATCGCGCTTTCCCTGGAGCGAGAAGAGAGACAGAGAGAGCGTGAGCTTCAAGACCTGATGAGATTACAATTAAGATTAGGAGATGAAGCTATACAGCAGGACATTGAAAAGCGTATACAGGAAGAAAAAGATGAGGTAATTACAAAACTTTGCTACTATATAAGCAAGTTAATATTCTCCTTTTTATCAAAGAAAACGATTCTATATTAGCGAAAAATTTGTTAAAATGAATTTTTTTACACAACAGGAACTGGCGAGGAAGTTGCAGCAAGAGGAGAAAGGAGATCATCCGGACTGTCCAGGAGATGAGCAATTAATGTTGGATCAAAAACTGGCGATGGAAACGCAGGACGCTGAGTTGGCACGGATGCTTCAGGACAAAGAACGAGCAAAGGCGCGTAAAGCGCGAGAGAGAGCGAAACAAAAAAAGCTGGAGCGCGAACGTTTGCAACAACAGCAACAGTTCGAAGAGCAGAATCTCACGGCGCGACCACCAAGACCGGACAGATTGGACTTGAAGACTCCGCCAGTCAAGAACCGAGCCCGTCATCCAGTCAACTATTCTCAGTATCCAGATCCCGAAGAAATCCAGACGTTGGATGATCCCGTTGACGGTTCACAAGAAGTGGCGAATGTCGCGGCTATCATCGATCCCACTTATAACGCGCATCGTGGCACTTCCAGCAGCTCGAGCAGCACGATAAGTCCCGTTTACGCCTTGCCAACGCCGTCGCAAGAGCTGATGATCGACGAAGCACCATGTTACATGCCGATCCAAGGCCAGCGACGGAATCAAGCCCAATCGCCGTCCAACGCACATGAAGAGAAGCACAAGCGACGCGTTAAGGACGGGTGTAAGCATCAGTGAGTGAGAGAGAGAGAGAGAGAGAGAGAGAGAAAGAAAGAGGGATGCTGTGAGAGAGAAGAGAGAATTGAGAAATCAGTATTTTTAAAATAAAATATATTCTGTCCTTTTTCTTTTTTTATTGCCATTTAACGATAACATAAGTTGATAAATAACTGATTCATTTCTAAAAGGTTCTTGTCTAAAGAGATGCGATTTTGTTATGCATTGATGAACACATTTATCTGATACATGTATTTACTTTCAGAAAATGTATAAATCTCTCTCAGGATTTTTTGATTATTTTACACTGACAGGATTTGCTGCCATACGTTATGCGACGATGTAATTCGCATTATGCAAAGTACAATGTGCCTTTTAAAGGGCATAAAAATTTGAAACGGCCTTGATAACACAAGTTGACAACTTATCTAGCAATATAAATTGAAGTTGACAATTATCTATTCAAATAGATATATTATACCGTCCTCGATTTTGTATTTATGTTTCTCGTGTCCATAATTCTTACGAAATATATGACATTAGTGTAAAAATTGCTTTATCAATGACAATGCTTTACAATATTAAAATTTTGATACCTTCAGCAAGAGAGTTGAAGCGAAAGAAGATATTATAGACAATCATGAAATGATTTGCAAGAGATATATATTGTGACACACACTTAGATATGGCAAAAAAAGAAAAATATAGTAACAGTGTAAATGTTGATTGACTGTTAAAGTTTACCGCAGAGTCTCATAATTCGTAGGTGACTAATGTACACAGTGTGTAATTGAAACACATGAGCAAGTCGTGATAAAAGATTAAACATTTTTTCCCGAGTTATACTTCAATGTTTAAGTAATTGACTTTAAAAGAAATCTCTTGTATTATCGATACGTTCGATTTGTTCCTGCAGAATACATATGTTTCCGCTACACACCGTACACAGGAATTTTCTAGATAATATGCGACATTAAATTAGTTATTATATAATAAAACTACTTATAATTCTCTTTTATAATTAATAAGGTAGAATGTAAAGAATAACAACACTGCCAAAGATAACACTTTAATGTGTTGGCCTTTCAATAAATAAAAGAAAGTGTTTATTAAAGAAGACGCACGCCTTGTGCGTGTGTAAAGATTTATAAATCTATATCAAGCGAATATTACGTATTGCAATCTTTTCCCCCGAACTTCAAAACACAATATAAGCAAGCTTCTAAAAAAATGTTTATTAAACATATTGTTGATTGTAGTATCTCGGGGGAAATGTTAGAACGCAAGAAAATGCCATAAAAGAATTATAATTGTTATTTCCTTCTTTCCCTGTCTCGAAAAAAATATGTTTAACTATTTATAATTTCAAAACGATACACATTTATAAAATGCTGTCAGAATTTATTTGTTATTAATTTTCGATCATTATAATATACGTATTCGGCCTTGTTTCATACACTTGCACGCACGCACATACACATATAATACACATACGCAATATATTCACTAATTTATATAAGGACTATTCGCGAAAGGATCAGAATCTGTATTGATAGCTTCAAGTAATATTCTTCATATGTATATTTTATATATATATGAGAATTAATTTGTAATAATGTATATTTTTGTGGTGATTGGAGTTTTTTCTCTTTTTTAATACTATATATGTCATGTATTACTTTCTTTTACATTTATTGTATTATACATGAGTACATTAATAAATTATTTACAAAGGTATGATACATTTTGCCTTTTTTACCGGAAAAATACTATAGGAATTATATGCACGATGTAACAGAGAGAGAAATCTGCGCTACAAAATCAAATTCTAAAAGTATTAACTAAACAAAAAAATCTATTCACAGCAGGTGTCTTCCAAAAGAGTGTACATAAAACGGAATGAATACTACTGTGAGCGTTAGAAAAAAAGAACAATATTGATATAATACAATTTCAATGATAGTTTATCATTTAAGTTTATATTTTTGAGAAGCGACAGATTCAATCGTAGCTTGTTAGAATGATATATCCGAGATTTGAATGAAATAGCATCTGTCCATACAACTGACATGCAGCATGTAGCACAGTTTAAATGACTTTTACAGGCATATGGATTGCGAAAACAATCTTCGCGTGAGAATTACATGCATATATTTTTTTTTTGTTTCTTAATATATTTCTAATCAATATCGCGCGTACTAGCATATATTCCAAGTACTGCCGCTACAGTCGATAACACACAACCACAACTTAAAATATATCCCAATTTGAAAGAAAAAAAAATTTGCTTTATCTTTCTAATTAACCCGATCGAGATAATTCGTTCGCGGAAAAAAAGAAGAAAACAAAATTGAATACAACATCGATAACATAAATTTGATATCTCTATAAAATAACATCGAAAGATAACAAAACTTCTCCTCGTTTCCGTATGTGGTCCCAGCGTAACGTACGAAATCATTCACTTCATAATAAGACAATTGATCAACTAAAAGTATTTAAAATTTATCGCTTAAACATCTAATTCAATGATTCTATCTACCTTCATTCGTCAATTTGTGATTGTTTATCATATATCAGCGAAAAATTACTTTGTACTATATCCCAGCGAGAACATAGAAACTGAAACTAATCGACAATTTACGCCCGTAAAATGTGTTTTATAATATTTCTTTTATTTCCGTATCAGAGCAAAAAAATTTTAAATATTCACTATATGCCTACAATTGCTGAAAATTAAAGTTTGCGATGAGATTAATTCTACAGACAATTTTAATTAACGCACAAACGCATATCACGACAAAACAAGAAAATATTGCAATCTAAAGAAAAATATGAAATAAATTTAAATTTAAATATATTGAAAGATTTGCAGGTCGAATATGCACGATAAATCATCAGAACTCTTTCGCGGAAAGTTTTCTGTTTAATCTGTTGTACTTTTGAATTTTTTATGTATGAGGAATTTTGTCCGAAATCGCGATCTGAAGTTCTTTACGATCAAACGAGAGTAACGGCCAGGTTGGATAATGTCGTGAGGTCTCTGGACAGCTGACTGCGATTCTCCCTTTTCCTGGTCAGAACTCGGTATGAACGAGCTCACTTTTCTATAAAAGATAAACAAAGAGTAGAAAATAAACCGACTTATACTTTCTCGAGTATAATTCTCAGAATCTTAAATATAAACGATTGAAAAGCGTAAAAGAAGGGTAGAAAGAGAGAGAGAGAGAGAGAGAGAGAGAGAGAGAGAGAATATAGTATAATATAAGAGAACGTTCGTATTGATCAATTAATGAATAACGACCTACGATGTTGATTCGGAGAAATGCTTTTAGATCTGGTTTGGGGCGGTGAGAACACATAATTCGGAACCTTCCCAATCTCTGCAAATTGAAAATCACAATCTCACCAAACGTTCGGATACCTACTGCTTCACAAAAGTGAATGGCATTAGTCACAGTAAACTTAACAGAATGAAAAATCTAACTATATATTAAATTATATCAAAAATAATAGAAATCTAGAAAGAAATTCAATAATTCAAGAGCCAATCTCTGAAGCCGATCTTCAAGGATTCAATTATATAGATCGTTTACTTATTGTTAGTATTATTACAGAAAATATATTCTATAATACAGAATCTACAGAACATTCTGTATTTACAAAATATAGTGTGTTCTCTGTGACATAAGATCATTCATCTGATAAGCGTCTCAAAGTTACCTTTCTCATCCAATGGCATATCCGACTTCTCCGGCTGTGAGAAGATAAACAGATTGCTAGATTCTTGACTTGCGTCGATCTTGCGCGGTCTACCTCGCTTCCGCTTTACCGTATCCTGCTTTGTACCTTTCTTGACCGTCGTTGTGATCGACGCTGGTCTTCTTTTCGACACGGCAGTATCTTGTGCAACTCTGTTCTCCGTCTGTTCGCCCTCTTGAGATCTTACTCTGTCCTCGCTCTCGGCCGATTCTTCCATTATCGGTTCCACCGCGATGTTTCTCGCGCGAATGTTTCTGGTCCTCTTCTTCACGTCTTTGTGCGTCACGTCTG